AAAAATATGACATCACTGAGAGCATTCATTTTGATTTGAAGGTAGGTGATCAACCCCCCAAATCCAAACTTCTGGTGTCTCCACTATATGGAACTAGGAAATGCAAAAATAAGAATTCTCAGGCTGGGAGTGTAGCTCAGTGGAAGAGGGAATAGAGAAAGACAGGATTCTATCCTCAATGTGGCAAAAAGATTCTCACATTAACAGAAAAGTTTGTATAGATGCTCTTTGAAAAATTTAAGTTTCTTATTTTATTAGTAATCTCATTTCATTTATTTCATGTGTCTTTTTTTTTTTTTTAAAGAGAGAGTGGGACAGAGAGAGAGAGAGAATTTTAACATTTATTTATTTTTTCTTAGTTCTCGGCGGACACAACATCTTTGTTTGTATGTGGTGCTGAGGATCGAACCTGGGCCGAATGCACGCTAGGCGAGCGCGCTACCGCCTGAGCCACATCCCCAGCCCTATCTCATGTGTCTTTAACAGCTGCCCCTAACCAAAACAGGGTCGTCTTTCCTATCCGTCAGTTTGTCCATTCTCTATCCTTCCTTCCTTCTCTCTCTCCATCCCCTTTCTCACTGCATCTTTCGAATTCTCTTTGCCCTACTTTCCCTCTTTCTTCTCTATTTTTTCACTCTCTCATTACCTCTTCTTTGTTCCTCCTCTTGTCCTCATTTTTTCCTTCCTGTGTTACTCAAAAGATTTTAGAGCCAGGCATGATGGCACATGCCTGCAATCTAGCGACTCAGGAGGCTGAGGCAGGAGGATCACAAGTTCAAGACTCATTCTCAAAATAAAAAAATCAAAAGGAACTGGAGATGTAGCTCAGTAGTAAAGCACCCAGTTCCCCCCAGGGGCGGGGCGGGGGGAGTTGTTAGGTATTCTGGTTTTAAATTACAGGGCAGGGATGTAGCTCAGTGGTAGAATGCTTGCCTAGCATGCACAAGCCTCTGGGTTCATCCATAGCACCACAAAAAAGAAAAAGACAAAGTAAATTAATTAATTAAATATAGGGCAGTTAGGGTTACAGGGTTTAATTAATTCAATATATTATGCTGTACTGATATACTGCACAACAAAACCCTCCCTTCAGTTTAAACTTGTAATAAGTTGGAGAATCCTCAAAAAGACTCCCCTCAGCCTCCTTTTCTTTTTTCTTCTTCTTCCCCAAATCTGATACTGAGGGATCAATTTTCTTTTCTTTTCTTTTCTTTTTTTTTTTTTGGTACTGGGGTTTGAACTCAGGGACACTTGGCTGCTGAACCACATCCCCAGCCCTACTTGTATTTTATTTAGAGACAGGGTCTCACGAAGTTGCTTAGTGCCTCACCATTGCTGAGGCTGACTTTGAATTTGTGATCCTCCTGCCTCAGTCTCCCAAACCACTGGAATTACAGGAATGTACCATATCACCTGGCAGAGGGATCAATTTTCAATGTCATAGATTCTGGCAATTTCCTTTTTGATATCTTTTTTTTAAGAGAGAGAAAGAGAATTTTTAATATTTATTTTTTAGTTTTCGGCGGACACAACATCTTTGTTTGTACGTGGTGCTGAGGATTGAACCCGGACCGCACACATGCCAGGCGAGCCCGCTACCGCTTGAGCCACATCCCCAGCCCTCCTTTTTGATATCTTTAAACTCTAACCAGCTAAGCCATTGGTTAGCCTTTCATGTTGGAAAGGGGAAAGGGGAAAGAGGGAGAGGAGGAGGAAGAAGAAGAGCACTTTTAGGATTTCATCTGAAAAGAAGTTTGTCAAATTGCTACATATAATTTGCAAATAAGTACATCCAAGTGTCATGCTAGCTGGCATTGGAAAGTTAAATAAATAGCAGAGATTTCTCACTTTTCTTTTGTTACCCTTGTTCGGTATACTGTGGTTTCAAAGATCTATTCTCTCTCTTCCGCCTCCTCCTCCTCCTCCTCTTCCTCTTTCCTTCTCTTCTTCATCTCCTCCTCTTCCTCCCCACTTCCCTATCTCCTCCTCCATTCCTCCTGAGGCTGTTGTCAATCTGCACAAATTAATAAAACTTGGGCAAATTAGAATTTATTTATTTATTTGGTACCTGTGATTAAACCCAGGGCGGTTTACCACTGAGTTACAGCCCTAGCCCTTTTTATTTTTTGTCCGAGACAATGTCTCACTAAATTGTTTAGGGCCTTGCTTAGTTGCTGAGACTGCCTTTGAACTTGTGATTCTCCTGCCTCAGCCTCTCCAGCCACTGGAATTATAGGTGTGCACCATCACACTCAGCTAGAATTTATTTAACAATGGCAATTTTTTCTAAGTGAAGTTCATCCTTCCCCTTTGGTACTGGAGATTGAACCTAGAAGCCCTTGACCACTGAGTTACATCCCCTTTTAATTTTATTTTCAGATAGGGGCTCACTAAGTTGCTTAGAGTCTCTCTAAGTTGCTTAGTCTGGCCTCTCAATTGTGATCCTCCTGTTTCAGTCTCCTGAGTCACTGAATTACAGATGTGCACCATTGTACCTGGCTGCTAGTAAAGTTGTAAGCAAGTCATTCAGGCATAAAAATGTTCCATATTCTTCTGAAAGGAAAAGTATATCTCCACGTCTACTTGGAAAATCAATGCAAAAGGTTAAAAAAAAAAAAAGCCAATTATTTGGGTTGTAGTTTCTGTTATACCTTTTTCTCTACCTTTTGGTATTGTGATTTTCCCCTCCTGGTGCTGGGGGTTGAGCCCAGGGTCTCACACATGCCAGGCAAGTGCTGTACCACTGAACCACATTCCTGGTGATATCATGAATATTTTAGTACCTACAGTTCCCCATTTTGTGATAGTTTGACAATGTTTTTTTTCAACTTTATACTTGTGGGAAGGCATGTTCATACAGCCATTCTGTTTTTCACTTTAATTACAGTGTTTGATAAATTTCATGAGATAGATGGGGACAGCGGCTTACACCCATAATCCCAGCAGTTTGGGAGACTGAGGCAGGAAGATTCTAAGTTCAAGACCAGTCTTGGGAACTTAGTGAGGCCCTAAGCAATTTAGGGAGACCTTATCTCAAAAATTAAAAATGGGCTACGGATGTGGCTCGGTGGTTAAGTACCCCTGAGTGCAATTCCTGGTACAAAAAAAGAAAAAAAAAAGTTATATGAGATATTCAACACCCTATTATGAAGCAGATTTTCTGTAGGTTGATTTTGCTCGACTACAGGCCCAGTTGAGTGTTCTAAGCATGTTTAAGGCAGGCTGGGCTAAGCCATGATATTCAGTTAGTTAGGTATGTTAAATGCATTTTTTACTTCATGATATTTTTCAGTTAAAGATTTTATTGCTGTATTCCTAGCAGCTCAAGAGGCTGAGCAGGAAGGTCTTAAGTTCAAAGTCAGCTCAGCAACTTTATGAGGTCCTAAGCAACTTACCAAGACCCTGTCCCCAAAATCAGAAATAAAACGGGCTGGGGATATGGCTCGGTGGTTAAGCACCCCTGGGTTCAATTTCCAGTATTGATTTTACTGGGACACAACCGGATGGTAAGAAAGCAGCACATGATTACTGATAGATAACATTTGTGGTTATGGGATTTAATTTACCAGCAAAACCTGGACTTGTGCTGTTTATAAGTATTGTTGTCTACTATTCATTGAATAAGCATGATTGATGCCTTCCGTAAAACATATAGGGAATTCCTCATTATTCAAAGATGATGAGATCAAGCCCCTGCTATGTGGAATTTTGTACTGTGTTCTAGGAGGAAGAAGGGATTGATTGCATGGTGTCCCACAGAAAATTATTTAATGGATTTAAAATAAAGTTCTAGGATAGCACAAAATGAGTTTGAATATTATCTATTTTAATAGGTCATTTTATATCTTTACTCATTTAGGATATATCACCATAAGTGTCATGAAAGTAATAAAAACATTTATTTTCAAGAGTTAAAATTCAGTGGTGAGGTATGTTAGACTATCAGTATTTTATTCCAGGATCTAAGTGCCTCTGTGTGCTCCCATATCCTCATTTGTATATTGATTTCTCTTATTTGAGAAATAACATCTTAAATATGAAAATGAAGACTCATGGAAAAGCAATCATTCTTTTTCAAAGTTGTCATGAGTCACTTCTTTTCTGCTGTAGGTTCCCAGAGTCTCCTTAAAGAGTCACAGATAGGCACTTTGACTTACAAATATACTTTTTTGTCCCTTACAGGCAAAAGATATAAAGGATATGAGAATAAATCTTCAGCCCAAAGACAGAAAAAATCTTTTTTTTTACTCTGTCATTTATTCTGAAGCCCTACATCCATATTTATATACATGAATGAAAAGTTCAGAAATACATTGATATACGTTTAAAAGACCACAGAGACATCTTGCAATTAGAAACTAACAGCCAATTGTACAAACACGGGCAGAAATTTTTTTTTTTTGTACAAGGGATTGAACCCATGGTTGCTTAACCACTGAGCCACATCCCCAGCCCTTTTAATTTTTTTTTAATTTTTTATTTTGATACAGGCTCTTGCTGAGTTACTTAAGGCCTCACTAAGTTGCTGAGGCTGATCTCAAACTTGACTCAGCCTTCTGAGTTGCTGGGATCACAGGCACGTGCCACCATGCTCAGCCACGCTTAGGATCTTTGATAAAAATATACTGGAAGGCAAAAAAGCAGGGAATAAAAATACATACAGCACATTCTGGCAATATCAGAATCATCCTGCAAAAATTAACTTAGTAAATGAATACAAATGTTTTTGGTGATGTTCAGGAAATGAATGTATTTTTTATAAGTGTCCATCTTCTTTTTTTTTCATTTTTTTATTGGTTGTTCAAAACATTACAAAGCTCTTGACATATCATATTTCATACATTAGATTCAAGTGGGTTATGAACTCCCAAGTGTCAATCTTCTTAATATGAAACCGGGAGGAGTGGCCTGTAATTCCAGCTACTTGGGATGCTGAGGTTGAAGAATCACAAATTAGAGGCTTGCCTGTGCACCTCAGGGAGACTCCCACTCAAAGGAGTAGGGGTGTAGCTCAGTGGTAGAGCACTTGCCTAGCATGTAGGAGGCCCTGAGTTCAATCCCCAGCACCCCCAAGAGAAAAGAAATCATAAAATGAAATTTTAAGTCAAATGCCAACTAAATCCCAGGCCTAAAGATTGGAGATGCTGGCCCACATATACTTATAGGGAAAATGAGTTGAAAGAGGTAACTGAACACCAAATTGGAGTGAAATATGAGGTAAATACTGAGAAAGGACCCAAGGGCTTGGAATGGTAAAGTAAACACCCATTTTTGTCTGTGGTTGTTTAATCAAGTTGGGAAAAGCCTGATAATTGTCCAGAATCATATACCTAATTTCAATTGAGCTCAGTTGGACTGCCTAGCCCTAAATTATAGCTCTGTCCTATCAGAAGTCTCACATAGAGGCTCCTTTCAATCAGAAGACAAAATTTTTGAGTACTCTCAGGGAGCAAGATGTTATCTGGGTTCTATGCAGAGAGTGTATTGATGAGAAGGAAAATGGGCCACACCTCCTGTCCTCAAAGATGCTAACAATGACAACTCCCCCCCGCCCAGTATAGGAGATTAAATTTTCTACCTCTCAGCTACATCTCAGTMCTTTCTTTATAAATTTATTTTGAGACAAGTTCTGGCTAAATTGCCCAGGTTATCCAGGAACTTGGCAATCCCTGTGCCTCAGCCTTCTGAAGAGCTGGGATCGCAGGTGGGCACCATTGCACTGGCAATAATTGAAACATTTAAGGCTCCACCCAAAGCAAATTACTGACATAGGCCTCAGTACCCACTTAAGGACAATGTGTTTGTAAAGCTTTTCCTTTGTCATTACTACAGTTGTACATCATCTGTCCCAGTACCATAATTCTAAATTCCACTATGGCATGTCCAACAATAAAGAGGTTTATAGAAACAGAAGTGAAAGCAATRCACAAGATAAAAAGAGTGCCTGTTGTCACTGCCTCAAAGTGGGTATCTTTCCAGATCTCAGATAAGGTGAATATATGAATGGAAAGATTGACAGGTGGATAAACAGATAGATTATAGATAGTCTATGCAGTAAAGGGCATAGACTCTAGATCTAGACCACTTGAATTCCAACTCAGTGACTTTTTGTATGAGCTTAGTTTTCTCATATCTGGAAGTGGGGATGGCGACAGTATGACCCTGTTGGGGTATTCTAAGGATTAAGTGAGTTTAGAAGTGAACTACTTTTTACCATGGCTAAGAATTACATAAGGGTTAATTGTTATATGAATACATGCAGGAACTTTTTTTTTAAGACAAATAATATTTTACTATATGTACTTTCTCACTTCACAGCATTTCAGGGAGAATGTAGTGATAATACAGAGAGATCTATTTCATTCATTTTTAATTGCTACCTAATATCTCAGTAGGATTGAATCAGAATTCATTTCACCATTCTCCTGTTAATGGTAACTTAGGTTGTTTCTAAATGTTTCCATTTCAAAATAACTGCTAATAACTTTTTTAAAACATATTTTTATATGTAGATGGACACAACATTTTGTTTTGTTTTTTGTTGTGCTGGGTATTGAACCCAGGGATTTGTGCATGTCAATACCTTTATTTTGTTTATTTAGGCTTTTTTTATATGGTGCTGAGGATCGAACCTGGTCCTTCATATATGCTAGGCAAGCACTATACCACCGAGCCACAACCCTAGCCCAACTGCTAATATGTTATCCTTGAATGTAAAATAAAGGATGCAGAAAGGGCAGGTTGTAATATATCTCCATTTTATAAACTGAGGCTCAGGAAAGTTTAGTAAATTGCCTGAGATCACATAGTATCAGCGTTCGGAAGAGAATTAGTTTAACACAGTGCCACAGTTTCTTACCTCAGATTTTCCCATTTGATGCAGAATAGCTTCACAAATACTGTGGTCCTTATGTTACAAAAAGACATTCTTCTGCATCCTGAAATAGGCACTAGGCAACTCCAAGTTGATTGCTGGAAAACCAGGCGTGAGTGGAGATAGGAAGGGACAGGTTCAAAGATGGACTGGAACAGCAGGCTTGGCAGTGTCCTAAGTGCTAACGATAAAATTAAGACACCATATGAAGAGCTTACATGGTTTGCAATCAGGATAAGTAAAATAGGATGGTATCAGAGAGAAGAAAAAAAACTTGCTGTTTGATTATTTTGGGGAGAATGTTATTTGAAAAACGGCCACATTGATGTTGGGTCATTACAGGTGATACACTCCTGAGGGTTGACCCCAGGGGCTCGTGCATGCTAGACAAGCTCTCTATCACTGTGCTGCATCTTCAGTAATGAGAACCATTATGACTGACCTCAGCCAAGTAGGGTGGCAGGTACCTGTGGTCCCAGCTTCTTGGGGACTGAGTCAAGAGGATCACTTAAGCTCAGAAGTTTGAGGCCAGTGTGGGTAACATAGAAAGACCTCGTCTCTAAAAACAGAACAAAACAAGTCTAATAATCTATACCTTATACCCAAACTTTATATCTCTATCACACTCTATTCAATAATATTAAGATAATAAGATTTTCATGAACTAAGAATGTATATAGAAGTCAATAATATTGGCTTTAAGGTATTGTACTCGTAGAACGTAAGTTCATATATGTTGGATTTGTTTTTGGTACTGGGGATTGAACCTAGGGGCACTCAACTACTGAGCCACATCCCCAACCCTTTTATTTTTTTATTTATTTATTTTTTAATTTATTTATTTTTTTTAAAGAGAGAGTGAGAGAGAGAATTTTTAATATTTATTTTATTTAGTTCTCGGCGGACACAACATCTTTGTTGGTATGTGGTGCTGAGGATCGAACCCGGGCCGCACGCATGCCAGGCGAGCGCGCTACCGCTTGAGCCACAACCCCAGCCCTCCCCAACCCTTTTAAAAAATATTTTATGTCTTGCTGAGTCGCTTAGGACATTATTAAATTGCTGAGGCTGGCTTTGAACTCAAAATCCTCCTGCCTCAGCCTCCTGAGCCTCTGGGATTACAGGCATGCACCATCACACCCAGTTCCCCAGGCCTTTTAATTTTTATTTTGAGACATGCTAAGTTGCTGAAGGTCTTGTTAAGTTGCTGAGGGTCTTGTTAAGTTGCTGAGGCTGGCCTCAAACTTACAACTTTCCTGCCTCAGCCTCCATATTCACTGGGATTACAGGGGTGAGCCACCTTATCTGGCCATATTGTCCATTTATAATATGATAAAACCTTAGTCAAATATGATCTTGAGATAATGACTTCAAAATGCACAGGATTCACTGTGGGAAAATTCCTTTAAAAATCCATTATATTAAAATATATATATATTCTGTATATGATATATTTATTATATGCATATTATGTTCCATAATATGTATATACCAATATTAATATTGCTGGTCTTGCTATACTTTCATCATGGGAAAAGTACAATGAAAAAACTAGAAAGCTGAACTTTAGATTTTATTCTCAGCTGGATCACTCAATGTCCTTAGGGACTTTTTTTCCTTCCAGGCTCCTGAGGATTGACCCCAGGGCCTCATGAATGCTAGACAAGCTCTCCACCACTGTGTTACATCCCCAATCCCATTCACTAACTTTAGGACTGAGCTAAATGATTTCTCCAGGTTGAAATTTCCTCTTAAATACAACATTAGCGTTGGGTTGGGAAATAAACAATGCCCGTCCACCTGCCGGTTGATGTTTACCTGAAAATTTGAAAATGCCTAGAAGATGCAAGTTGTAATTTTTTACTGCAATGAGGGAGATGCTAACACTTAGAAATGTGAAGAATATATTGTAGCTTTAAAGTGAAGGATGGAAAAAATGAAGCATCACAGTGTTTTAAAAAGATATTTCTTGGGCTGGGGATAGAGTTCAGCTGGTAGGGTGATTGCCTGGTATGTACAAGGCCCTGGGTTCTAATCCCCAGGACCACCACCATCACCAAAAAAAAAAAAAAAAAAAAAAAGATATTTCTTAGCTATTATTGAATCATTTAATTGATCACCTTTGTTCCTTCTGTTTCTGCTTCTGAGTTATGATAATATATAAGAAGCTTGTGAAAATGCTTATCGAAATCAGTTGGGACACAATGCAACAATTTAACTCCTCATGACAGCCACCTCTAACTATGAATGACATATAATAAATTATGTTTGAACTGGATTTTCAGCTGCAGATCCTTCTTCTGCCACCCAGACAGCCCTATAAAGTTGCACTTGTGGCCTTAATCCTGCTTGGATGTATGCCCTACTGCCTCTACTTTCCATCATTCTGGTGCTTTAGTCTTCTTGAATAAGTGAACAATCTTTGTTTCTGTACCTTATTAGGCCAAAGACCATAACAGCTAGTGATGGCATCGGCAAGCCCTGCGGGCAGGATTCTCTGCAGACCCAGCCAACCTCCAACAAACCCCTTTTTATACTCCTGTTTCTAGGAAGAATTATGATGGCGGTGCCCTGCTGTTGATCAGTCAAATCTGTGGTAGGCCTAGAGATAAGTCCTGTAAGTGTGGTGTACTGTAAAACAGCGGCTCCCATTCATTAGTAGCTTGTGTGTAATAAACCACCAAAAGGGGGGGGGGGGGCGGGGAGGCAGCTGCAGTGTGCGAGAACAAACAACACATCTCATTCTTGGGAGCCAAAACTTTGTAATTTGCTCCTGGGCAGCCTGCTCTCTCTGACATTCTTTCTGATAACATATTAGGGTCCTATCTATATTTACAGTTTAACTAGTAACCCAAGAGATTCTATTTTGTTACTATGTATATATATTACGATAGAATGCTATTATGGATGACATGAAAAATACTATCAAATAACTTACCCTGGCGACCAAAATTGCTGGGTTAAAGGGGCATTGTCCTTCACCAACTGATAGCCTTAAAAAAGAAGAAAAACTTATGTGAGCCATTGTTTCACAATACTGATTTTATGAGCCAGACTCTTCAAAAGATACCAGCTAAGATGCACCCAGTGGGTAAACAACCCCCACAAATGAATTACATTTTTTTGGTAGTACAGTTTTTAGACAGAAAGTGTTCATGGAGGAGAAAGTTATTTTGGGATTGTTTACCTTTTTTTTGT